AGAGTGTGGACGAGATGAGAGGAAGAAGCAGATAGCATGGCACTTCTTTCTACCTAAGTATTAGCAGCACTAGCTGTATGATTAAATAAATGAAGAGCAATGAAGGCTCAACTCAACCTATGCGAGTTTCTTTATGTTTTTGTCATACTTTGGTGTATAATTATAACTGTGGTGTGCAATGAGTTAATTACTTTGGTGTGTATATGTAATAAAGACATATGATATATATTATTCCATGCTATATTTATTGGTCTTGATCATTGCAAATTATTAGGGCATAGTATTATCTGTAAAAGAACAAGACAAATATTTTGTCATTAAAAGAAACAAGACATTTACACACACTCGTAGAAACGAAAGTGATACATTATTGGCTGCTAGTTAAGGAATCGATCTCAACCAACTAAAATTCAATTTGCTCAATTGATAAGGGACACTTATGGACAAAAGGAAACAAACATGCAACTCTTTACACATGAAAAAAATAGATAATGTGATACTTATAGATGGAAAAAATTCCTTAAAAGTGAGTTAGTGCGCGTAAAACTGACACATATTGGATAATTTAATAATTCAATGGGTGTTTCGGAGATAGAATAAATGAATATTTAATTATATATTTTCTAACATAGATACGAATTTGATGATATCTAAATTTGTAAATATTAGTATTTGTTAATAATTAGAAAAATTATTTAAATATATATATTTTTTAATTTCATATTTGATAAATTTATTTCATTAATAGATATTTATTTTAACTTGATAATCTCCTTTTCATTTAAAACCTTAGTTGCGTACGTTTTTTTGTCTTCGTCTTCTTCAAAAAATTTACACCTAATCTTTTATTTACATCATATAAAAAAATTAGTAAATTATAATTTTAAAAAATAGGTATCTATGGATATCCGTAAATACCCGCAAATATTTTAAAATCTATGAATATTCATTTGTCAGATATCTGCACCGGTATGTGGCAGGTACGAATATCATATTAAGTAAACAAAATGGATAGCAGAAGACTAATACTCGTGCTCATGGCTTTCCGCCCATTACTATTCTCAGTGTTAGCTAAAATAGAAAAACATAAGATTTCATTTAAAAATTGTTTTTATGAAGTATTGATTATGCTTTTTATTTCAAAACTTTTTAAAACAATATCTTCTTAGTTTGAACATAAAAAAGTAATATTTTTAGTTATTGATGTATCTGATGAAGAAGATGAGTACATAAAAGAAAATTCAAGAGGGTTATATGAAGATTCTTGCAAAAACTTTTTCAACAAAATCTTAGAAAATACTTCAAAAGATTCATACGAGAAATCTTCTAAAGAATTATTTAAGATGTTTGAAGAGGATGAACATGTTTACTTGAAAGTTATTGACGAAGAAGATAGTTATGAGGTAGTAACTCTGTCGTATAAGCTGCTATTTAAATTAAATTATAAGTTAATAAAGGAACATTATAAGATGGAAAAAAGCAATTTAGAACTTAATGAATATATTGAGTTTCTAGTGAATAACAATGAAATGCAAATGTATGAAATCACTAATATTAGAAACCATGCTAATAATTGTGAAACATGTGTTTCAAAGAAAAAAGAAATGAAACATTTGCATGAAAATCCAAGTATATTTATTAAGGGAAAATTAAAGCTAGATTTAATTATATCAAATCAAAGGTCTTCCTTACATAAAAATGAATTAGAGTTTAAATTAAATAAATCGCTTAGTAAATGGTTCAATAATAGGAAGAAAATAAATCTTTATATCTATAAGTGTCCTTTTTGTAATAAGTTTGGCCACTTAGAGTCATGTTGCTATGATAAACTAACAATTTTTAAAGAGAATAAATCTAGACATGTTAAAGATATTATGCACCATAATAAAAAAAGATTTGGATATTAAAGGTGAAAACCTGATATGTTTTGCATGAATAATTTGCAACTTTAGCGGAACCTTAGTGAAAATTAAATTAATCTATGAAAAGCAAGATGTATACCTCTAGTATACAAGAGAAGATCTTTCCTAATAACATTTTGATGATCCTAATGCTTATTATCAAAGCTTGCAGAGGAAATGTAAACTTCTTTGAAGTATGTGATCTGACTGAGGCTTTCAGAAGATAAATTGTAGCCAGTTCTAAAGAGTTGGAGGTTGTCTGGCAGAAGGAAGCTAAGATGAACTTCTATACCAGACTCTCTGGAATAGTTGAATCTCCACTTCAAAAGGTTCCAGCCACTTTTCTGCTCCCAGCTCCAAAAGTGATTCCTCCACCCCTATTTCAGACTTTTGTAGTTTCGACTGAGACCTCTATAGAAGCAGCTAGTGTTTTTGGCACCAAGGATATCTCGGGTTTTGAGGATTTTGTTTTGAAAAAGATAGAGTTTCTAGCTCAGGAGAACTTAGAAGTGAAGTAACGAACTTCAAAGATTGAAGGGTGGCTTGTAGAGATTCTTTCCAAACTACCCAAAAATCCTTATGCACCTTAGTTTTTTTAAAACTCTGTGTTATCTTTGTGTTGTTCCTATGTTTCCTTTTTTTATGTACTCGCCTATCTTGGTTAATTAATGTAAAATATACTTTGTTTGACATCTTTTTTCTTTATCTATTTATTCTTTTTGGTTGATGACAAAGGGGGAGAAAGAGTGTTATTTCTTTTGATTACCTTAAATCACAATTTATATTTTGATTAATTAAACTGTTATGTTGTTGATGTTTCTGCTGCTTAATAAAATTGAAGTTTGACATGACCAATGTTATAATTATTATTATTAATAATTTTTAAATATATTATGTGTTATATATCTGATTACACGAGTAGGTTTTGTTGAACTGTATCATCCTAAATATTGTGAGTTTCAATTTACTCTAGTAATTTTATTTAAATTACGCAGGGGGATATTTATGGTGTTACATCTTTCACTTGGATGAATTAATCCCAAGCGCACACTTGTTGAAACCCAAGATTTGTTAGAACACATATTGGTTCTTAATAATATCTCTATGTTTTGATGATAACTATTATGAAATTTTGTAATTAAGAATTATATACTCTAAAATTTGCTTAAGAATGTTTGCTGCAGATATTAAAGTAATTATCACTCCAGAAGCAAATCAGAACTGAACATAAAAAATATGCTAGACTTTGAAGCGTCAGATGCACTCATTAGAAGATTCTGAACGCTGCCATCAGAAGATCCTGAGCGCTGTCTCCAGAAGGATCTGAAGCAGAAGCTCCAGAAGAATCTGAATCAGAAGCTCCAGAAGAATCTGAAGCAAGTCAGAAGCATCTGAACGAAAGAAGAATTCTGTATGAAGAGTTTTCAAGCATAGTTACTACAGAAGATTCTGAGAGTACTAAAGCTGCCAGTACTGAGGATCTGACTCAAAAATATGCTCTGAACTTATACACGCTAAAAGCACACTTGCTGCAAAGACTCTGATTTAGCAAAACTCTGATCAACATCAGAAGGCTCTGGTCAATTTAGACTCTGATGATTCTTGCTGAAAATTGATGAAGAAGAATTCAAAGATTATGTCCGTTGGAATATCCAAACGACTCTTTCCTTATTTATGCTAGACACAAGAACACAGACAAAAAGGATTTCTCTGTGCTTTCTTCTTCTAGAAAAGGTCACTTGATGTGAAGACAAAAAGGCTCAGACCTTTTGGGTACACACTTCTCAACGTGAAAAGCTCTTGGACCACTGTGCCTATTAAAGCAAGTCTCCACCCATCTTCTTCAGTTGACGTATTACTTGAGAAGAATTGATTATCAAAGCTCTCATACAACTCATACTCTTTCTAGAATTAATTTCTTTGTTCTTAATACACTACAACATTTTTACTCTATAGCAACGCCTAATTTTCAGAAAGTAAAAAAATTGTTCTCGTAGAGACTAATAGGCAACTAATTATATAATTTGTTGCGGTAGCTTATATAATTTTTTGTAAACTTTATACAACGGCTCAAACCCGTTCTTGTAGAGGACAATGAGAACGGCTCCTATTAGCAACGGCTAGAGCCGTTCTTATATAATTTTTAATTAATTTAATAAAATATTATTTACTAAACCGTTCTCATATGTGTATAGTTTTCATTGTCCCTCCCAAACCAATGTAAAATTTTCAATTCCCTCCCAAATTGATTCTAACGCAGAGAGAGAAAAGAGACATTCATCCCAAATTGATTCTAACCCTAACCCCTATCCTTTCTTCATCGTGCTCCCAAACCCAACCCTATTCAACACAAAAGCTTCTCATTCTTCTTCGTTGTAGCTGGGTTTCAGCGTCCTTCTTTTCTTCGTTGTAGCTGGGTTTCGGCGTCCTTCTTCTTCATTGTAGCTAGGTTTCTCCTTCTTCTTCGTTGTAGCTAGGTTTCTCCTTCTTCTTCGTTGTAGCTAGACTCTCATTCAACTTTTGTGTGTGTAAATCTTCTCCTTCAACTTTCTCTTTTCTCTGCCGACAAATCTAACGGTTTTGTTTTCATAGGTTTCAATTTTCAAACGTAATAGTGTGCGAGTTTTCGGCGGTGTGCGGGTTTTCGGTTCATCCCGGTAAAAAGGTAATAATTTGATTATCTTTGTGATTTTTTCTTCATATGAATTCTGCTTGTGATTTTCAGTGTGAATGTCATTTTGATGTGTGTATATACTCTGCCTATATGCGTGTGAATTTTGTATGAATTTTCAGTGAGGCTTTCTAGTTTGTACTACGCTGCTGTTGTGTGTTAGAAATTTTGTGTGTGTGGTTTTATGATTGAAACGCTCCTCATGGTTCACAAGATTACAATCAATTACCACAAAATCAGCTTTGTGTAATATCAATAATTCTTGTGCTTCTTTTCCAATCATGAACTCAACTTGATTAGCAACACCCTTAGTTTGATTAGCAGCACCCTTGGTTTGATTAGCAAACAACATTTCCATTAGTTTGATTAGCATCGGCAATTAGTGCAAGTGTAGTTGAATCAGTTGCAGCAGCACAAGCAACAACCAT